CAGGATGGTCTCGATCTCCTGACCTCGTGATCCGCCTGTCTCGGCCTCCCAAAGTGCTGGGATTACAGGCTTGAGCCACCGCGCCCGGCCCATTGTTTGATTTTTAATATCATTTTTCTTTATTTTTCATGAACACTTCTAATACCCATATCATTGTGTTTCATTTTATCATTATTGATTTATTTCTTAAAATTTGGGAGATGTATATTCTTTTTCTAGCTTTTTTTGAATAGCATGCCTAATTTTTTATAGCTTTTTTGTTCTCTCATACTTGTATTTATGTCTATAAGCTTTCTTCTGAGTCTGTTTTAATCATATCTCATGTTTGATTATTCTTATTTTTCTCTAATTTTTTTTTTTTTTGAGACATAATATCCCTCTGTCACCCAGGCTGGAGTAGAGTGGTGCGATCTTGGCTCACTGCAACCTCCCCCTCCCAGGGGAGGCATGAGCCATCATGCCCAACTAGAATGGCTATTATCAAAAACACAACAGATGGCTGGGTGCAGTGGTTCAAGCCTGTAATCCCAGCACTTTGGGAGGCCGAGGCAGGTGGATTGCTTGAGCTCAGGAGTTGAGACCAGCCTGGCCAACATGGCAAAAACCCATCTCTACTAAAATACAAAAATCAGACAACAGGTGTGGTGGTGGGCACCCATAATCCCAGCTACTCGGGAGGCTGAGGCAGGAGAATCACTTGAACCAGGGAGGTGGAGGTTGAAGTGAGCTGAGATCATGCCACCGCATTCCAGTCTGGGCGACAGAGGGAGACTTCGTCTCAAAAAAAAAAAAAAAAAAAAAAAAAAAGACAACAGATAACATGTAGGTTGTGGAGAAAATGGAACCCTTGTACACAAAGAAAATGTGTATACACACACACACACACACACACACACAATGAATTCCTCCTTTAAAAGAAAAAAATCCTGTCATTGTGACAACATAGATGAACCTGGAGGATATTAAGCTTAGTGAATAAGGCATAGAAAGACAAATGCTGTATGATCTCACTTATATGTAGAACCTAAAAAAGTTGGCCGGGCGCAGTGGCTCACACCTGTAATCTCAGCACTTTGGGAGGCCAAGGCAGGCAGATCACTAGGTCAAGAGATCGAGACCATCCTGGCCAACGTGGTGAAAACCCGTCTCTACTAAAAATAACAAATAAAAAAAATAATTAGCTGGGCGCGGCGGTGCATGCCTGTAATCCCAGCTAGTCGGGAGGCTGAGGCGGGAGAATCACTTGAACCCAGGAGGCAGAGGTTGTAGTGAGCCAAGGTTGCGCCATTGCACTCCAGCTTGGGCAACAAAGCGAGACTCTCTCTCTCAAAAAAGTTAACTTTATAGAAACAGAGTGAAATGGTGGTTGCCAGCAGCTGAGATGGGTAAATGGGAACATGCTGGTCAAAGGGTACAAAGTTTCAGTTGGACAGCATGAAGAAATCAGAAAAAAATGCAAAAATAAAAATAAATAAAAAATATGTAGCAGATACAGGAAACAGAACTATCATTATTTGTAGATCACAGAATTATTGTTATAGAAAAGACCACAGACTCAGAATTTAACGATAAGGCTTCATCATTATAAAATGTCCACTGGAGGAAAGGATGAATTTTCACTAACCAGGGGCTGGGTAAATTACACTTCTATTCCTTGGCACATCACAGTTACAGGATTTGTTTTATAAAAATATAAAAACAGGGAGTCATTTTCTAAGAATTGCCTTGGGGCCCTGTGACATGAAGGAATGGGAGATAAGACAGTGTGGTACTCATCCGGGAGGGCAGTGTTCCAAACAGTTATTTGAAAGGAGTGGCAATAATATAGATTTGAAAAGAGTTGCATGCTTATCCATTAAAATGTCTAAGAATATATCATTTTATTGAGATTTTCTATACCTACTGACATGTAATACGATTTTTTAATGGATAAGTTGTTTTCATCATCATCCTCATAGAAAATCCAAGACATCCAGCCGGGCATGGTAGCTCACACCTGTA